AATGACCGTACCACTAAAAAATTGGAAAAGAAAAATTTTTTTCAATAGTGATAGGAGTAGTACGATATTCGAAAGGAGAGAAAGATCATGAGCTTGGGTACATTCCCGGACAGTGACGTGCGTGTACCGCCTTGAGAGCGTGAAATTAAAAATCTCTGCCAACAGACGCAGGAGGGTTTGGCAATTTTCTATGGTCAAAAGGTAGGGAGAAGAAAAAAGTAGGTCTTAAAGTAAAAAAATTTAGTCCCCTTGTGTGGTCCGAAAAAAAAGCGTGGAGAGGGAGTTTCTTGAAAGTGTCGGTGTTTCGAGGTTTTGAATTGGGGGAAAGGGAAAGGGCGGGGGCTTTATCAGGGGATTGACTTGGGGGTTTTGGAGTAGGACCCAGTTTGGGCCGGGAGGAATGGGTGGGGGGTTTTGAAAATTGCCGTACCGTAGAGGGGGAAGCCGGGAACATAGTCAAAGGGGGGAGCGGGTTCAGACAAAATCGAAGGAGTCAGTCGAAGCCCCGGTACCTGAAAAGGGGGGAGGAAACGCAAACCCGCAAGAGGTACAGGGGGGATCAGGAGTGTCCGAAAAGTGGTTCCCAAACACAAGGCAGGGTCAAAAAATGGGGTTTCGGTTTTCAAGAAGGGGCCCGGGGGTAGTGGTTTTTATGGACTTTGGGTTTCCAAGGTTAAAGGGGTTTCTCCTTTGCTTTTTTTTTTTAAAAGAAAAAAAAAAAAAAAATAAAAAAAAAAAAAAGAAAAAAAAATTAAAAAAAAAAAATAAAAAAAGGGGGGAGCGGGGGGGGAAAAGTTCCCAGGGGAATGAAAGGGCCCCGGGAAAACCCCCCCCCGCGCCCAAGAGGACCGACAACCCCCTAGTAGCCCCAGAGCAGCGGAAACCCCCCCTGCCAACCCTACCCTTCATGCCAGTAAAACCCGCAATCTGGGATAAAACCTCACATCTCCCGAGCTACCTCGGTGGACAAAAGAGAGGGCGGCCGGATATCCGCCACAAAAGCATACCTCCTTCAGCCACCCCCCCCCGGAATCCGAAAGGTGGCTTCCAGAGATAAAACCCGTCCCCCAAAAGACACCCAAAGCTACTCCGGGAATACCGGAGAGGGATCGGGACACCCCCGGGGGCAATCCAGATTCCACGGCAAACTACCCACCGCCAAGAAACCTCAACGGAATGGGATGGACCCCGGTGTCCTTTCCCCTACCTAGGAACTAGTGCGCCTGTGGGAGAAATCACGAAGGCCAAGAAGAGGAAGGGCAAAAGGGAGGGGTGAGGAGGAGGAGGAGGAATGGAAAAAGGGGAGGATGGGGAGGATGGGATAGGGGAGGGGAGAATGGGGGGTAATTAGGTTCGGTCTGAGGAAGAAGACCGACAGGGCTAATTCCTCAGACCAAGAGCCTCTTCACCACGCCAAGGAGCCCCCCTTGAAGAGGACAAGTCAGTGGAATGTGGGTGATTTGCAGATGTCTCTCATGTCTGCAAGTCTGGCATGACCAATATCTACATACATGTATAGCTAACTGATATGCTGTCTTTCCTCTGCTTCTTCCTGGGTACAAGTCAATCCCTTGCTATTTTGCAGTGCCTAACATCATTGATCCAGTGTTGTAACAGGGTTAATGATGCAGATTTCACATTCATCAAATCATCTATAATATAGAAAAAATAATATCCTCTGAACTTTACAATATTATTTCATAAATCCTCATACCGACACATACATAAGAACATAAGAAAGAAGGAACACTGTAGCAGGCCTACTGGCCCATGCGAAGCAGGTCCATGTCACCCCTCGGCTTAGACCAATGACCCACCTAGTCAGTTCACTTCCACTTAACCCTTTGAGGGTTTTCGTCGTACTAGTACGTCTTACGCGTAGGGGTTTTTGACGTACTAGTACTCATAAATTCTAGCGGCCTCAAATCTAGTGGGAGAAAGCTGGTAGGCCTTCATATGAAAGAATGGGTCTATGTGGTGAGTGTGCACAGTATAAAAAAAATCCTGCAGCACACAGTGCATAATGAGAAAAAAAAAACTTTGACCATTTTTTTTTAATAAATCAGCGAATTTGCAGTGTATTTTCGTATGGTATTTATTGTTGTATTCTAGTTTTCTTGGTCTCATTTTATAGAATGGAAGACATATTACAGAAATTGAGATGATTTTGACTGGTTTTACAAAGAAAGGTGCCTTGAAATTGAGCTCAAAGTAGCAGAAATGTTTGATTTTTACCAAACTTCAAAAGTAAACAAATCGTGCCAAGCGTCCAATACACGTCAACTGGTGAGTCTAATATTCTTTCACAAGTGCACCAATAATATTTATACCATTTTTTACACTAATGCAGTAGTCTGCATAACAGTAAAATCTATATTTTTTGTGAAAATAAAAATTCAAAGTGGAAAGCAAAAGAATAAGAGGGGCCTTGAGACGTGACTAATGACTAGAGGAAATGTCATTTTAGTGCCAGGAATGTCTATCTTGTTTATTCTGGACCCTATTCGGAAATTGGCATCTTTTGAAATTTGTGTGAAATTGGCAAAATTGCTAAATTCTGACCACTGTACTGGATAGTTGAACTTCATAAATGAGTGGTTTCTTGCACCCATTCGATAGAAAAAATGGAGTTCTAGCGAAATATTCATGTTTTTGTCGACTAGTACAGTGAAATTGGCCGAAAATGGGGCTCAAAGTGGGCAAAATCGCCGATGCGTAAACATCGCCGAGACCGCTAACTTTGCGAGAGCATAATTCTGTAAGTTTTCTATCAAATTTCAAACTTTTGGTGTCTTTATGATCGGGAAAAGATTCTCTATCTTTTCATAAGAGAAAATAATTTTTTTTTTTTTTTAAATTTGGCCGACCCTGAGAACGAGTTTCGGAGAGGGCCTGTCGACCCTCAAAGGGTTAAGGAAGGAGCACGGCATCAGACCTAGTAGCACAAGCTAGTCAGGTCCAACTCACACCCACCCACACCTACTCATGTATTTATCTAACCTATTTTTAAAACTACACAACGTTTTCATTTCTATGATGGTACTCGGGAGTTTGTTCCACTCATCCACAACTCTGTTACCAAATCAGTGCTTTCCTCTATCCTTCCTGAATCTGAATTTTTCCAACTTGAAACCATTGCTGCGAGTCCTGTCTTGGCTGGAAATCTTCAGCATGCTATTTACACCCCCTTTATTTATTCCTGTTTGTCATTTATACACCTCTATCATATGCCCCCTAAGTCTATGCCTTTCTAGAGAGTGAAGATTCAAGGCCCCTCAGTCTACATATACAGTACTGAGTGAACCATACACTATGGGTTAAATTGCTGAGATAACACATTACAATGCTGGATACATACTGTATATTGCTAAAGAACTTGGGCGTCATGGTAAGCAGAAATTTGAAGATACACTTACAATATATAGTATCTACTTTGTATGTGGGTTATTTCAATAATAAACAATACTGCATACAGTACACAGTACTGATTGTAATTCCATCAAATACTTGCACCAGACAAATAACTTAGAAAGGCAAAATGTTTTCTGCAACAATTAATTACATTATTATTATTAATGCATTTAATGGAGGAGCACTAAACCCATATCCATCATAGAGTGAATGGGGGAAAAGGAGGCAATCAAGTTGTTTTACCCAAGTACAGGGGGTGCAGGTCTAATTTCTTGAATCAAAACCACTCATCAGCATCAAGGCAGATCCCTGGAGGGTAAAATTATTACAGTACAGAAAATTTAGTCTGGTTTTCCTTTATGAAACACTACTTGGAGTTATTAATATAATTGCCTATTATGGCATTTTTTTGCATAGACCATTTTTCACTGTAATATATAACTGATTAATCATTGTATAATCTACCCCTACCTTTAAACCTTACCACAGCAACTTCTGATTAAGTCATAACTAGTGATAATCCTGTAGTTCAGGTGGAAAATGGGGTATCAGTTAACCTCACAGGATCCTCTGCCATTAACCTGTAAACGGTCCAAACGTATATACAGTGGACCCCCGGTTAACGATATTTTTTTCATTCCAGAAGTATGTTCAGGTGCCAGTACTGACCGAATTTGTTCCCATAAGGAATATTGTGAAGTAGATTAGTCCATTTCAGACCCCCAAACATACACGTACAAATGCACTTACATAAATACACTTACATAATTGGTCGCATTGGGAGGTGATCGTTAAGCGGGGGTCCACTGTATACGTTTTTTCAACATTTGAAAGTATGTAAAAAAAGTAGATCTTCTTTTTGTTTTTTTACATTTGAAAACGTGTAAAAAAGCTTTGACCTACTTTTTTTTGTTTGTTATATTTGAAAATATGTAAAAAAAAGTAGATCTACTTTTGTAGCACTACACATGTGAACGTAGATCTGCTTGGACCATTTACGGGTTAAATTTGTTCAACCTATAAAATATAGTGTACTTGATCATTTTAATGATCTTACTGCCCACCAAGGCAGGGTGATATACCACCCAAGTTGAATTTGGGTGGATATAAAGTGCAAATATTCACAGACCTCCAGTCCTGCCAATGTGTAGGAAAACTCTAGGTCTGCTGGATTTGTTTCATTAACAGATAAAAGATACCTGCACAATCTGGTGTAGTTCATGATAACTAAAAGAAATTGTAAACCTTCTACAGTATGTATACAGGGCCCCTCTCAAATTCCAGAATATGTTACCAAATCCACTACTCTTAACATTTAAAAAATTATGCTGTAACTTCCTCTATTTGTCATTACCTGAAAGTAATTTTATTATTATTTTAGTAATCAATATTTAAGAATACAGTATTCATGTAGTGGTATATTTATTCATTCAGATTTGCTGACATAAAATATTCCATATATCAATTATATTTTGAAGTAAAAAAGGTCTTATAAGGTAAACTACAATATGCTTACAGTAGATAAAAATACAGTACGAATATAAATACACAGATTTTTAAGATATATTAACTGGAATTTATTTCCACAGGGTCCATGAACTACCCATCAACAATGCAAGCACTGTTTGCACTGATTGTTATGATCATTGTCTTACTCTTCATCCTGGTGTATTGTTGCTGGGGAACTTTCTCCTGTACTCGTCAAGAAGACACTTCTGCGGCAGCTGAAGATGGAACACCTGTTACACAACATCAAGGGCAACAGGTTTTGAGAGGCACTCATATGGTCATAGTACCTATTAATAACATGATTTATGTGGGTGACCCAGAGACCCGTCGCATTTATCAGATTCCTATTGATCGTGACAAACCACCTGCTTATACAGAAGCAGTCAGCAGTGGGCCTCCTCCTCCTTATGTATCAGACAATTCCACTTCTGATAATACAGTGCAAAACCTCTCTCAGGCTGTGCCTGAGACAAGAACTGTGCTTCCAGATCTCCCTCCATCTTACGATGATTGCTTATCCTCCTCATTTTCAAATGAAGTATGGCATACAGTCGTGAATAATCATGTGTCTGCTTCAGAATCTTGGCAAGTTCAACCAAATGGACAATTTGGGAGTGACACAGGTGGCCAACAGCCCCCTGAGCTTGCATCTAACAGTATGACAATTGATGGTCTGGACCAAAGAGTAACAGAGGCTCCAGGTGGAAGGCTAGAAAGTGTGATTCTTCTTCCATCTAATTTAAGGACAGTACTTAACCCTCATCTTTCTCCTGAGAATGGGACAGATACTGATTGTGATAAATCTTTAAATGTGCAATCCACTTGAGATAACAATTTAGGCATGTCATAGAGTTTGCTCCCCTCATCACATGTGGATTTTGATTTGCCCTCAGTGGTTACTACTTAAAATATTAAAATATGTACTGTATATGAAAACATTAAGAGGCAGTGATATAATGAAAGTCTGCACATATATACACGTGCTCGTATGCATACACACACACACACACACACACACACAAACTAGAGAAAGCGCAAAAGTATGCAACAAGGCTCATTCCTGAGCTAAGGGGCATGAACTATGTGGAGAGGCTAATGTAATTAAACCTGACAACACTGAAGAACAGAAGAATCGGGGAGGGGTGAGGGCAACATAAAAACAAACTGCTCAGGAGAATTGATAAGGCAGACAAGGTTAGGCTATTTGAGAGGTGAAAGTTAAGACACATGCGCAACATCTGGATGTCTTTATTGCAGACGTTTCGCCATCCAGTGGCTTTATCAATACAGATTCTAGGACATAATTAGAAGACAGTAGAACTATATACAAAAGATGAGGTAATCAGTCCCTCAGCCTTGGAGTTAGTGTTCACAGCATCGTGGTGGTAGAGAATCTGGAGCAAAGGCAAGAAGACCAGTGGTTATATAGGCATCAGTGGATAGGTACGTGTAGCAGATGAGGGCATATTCACTGGTAGGCGAGATTCCCCAGTGGAAGTAGGTCCTACCCAAAGGGATGGGTTAGTTGTACGTAGTAGCTGTGAAGAAGGTCTTGTAGATGTTCTCTGAACCAAGATTCCATGATGTTGCAGTGCCTGACAAGTTGTTCAAGAACTATTTGAGAGGTGAAAAATGGGAACTTGGGGACACTGCTGGAAGTTGAAGTCACAGATGAGCCACAGGGATCTTGGGAAATATTTTTTTCAGTCTCAAGAGTGGTCACGAAGTGGAATGATCTTGGTGGGGAAATGGTGGAGGCAGGCTCCACACATCCAGTAGTTCAACGGATAGGTATGACAGGGCCCATGAAGCTCAAAGGGATTGAATTTGAAGAGTGGCAAGTTAAGAGGCAGGGACAGGATCTGAGTGTACACACATACATACATACGTATGCATGCACACATGTACACAGTCACACGCACACAAAGTCACACACACACAAAGTCACATACATACAAAGTCACAAACGCACACATATATAGTCACAAACACAAATATACAGTTATGTACTATGCTTGTAAAATAGGCAGAAAACATTTTCCCCTAAATTTTTCCAGGTCTTAGAACAAAGCAGAACAGTATCTATCTAGTCAGAGGACAATGGCACATTTCACCATCTATTTTTCCAGGTCTTAGAACAAAGCAGAACAGTATCTATCTAGTCAGAGGACAATGGCACATTTCACCATCTAACTGTATTTGATACAGTACAAAATTGTCTATAAAATATATACAGTATACTGTACTGTACGTAAAAATTTAAATTGTTAGCTTTAATCTACAATAATAATGTGATAATTAGTTTCTATTCAATGTATTTATTAATCCTTTACTACACTACAAAAAATTATACATTACACTTAGGCACACAAGACATTTTTTATTTTTTTTTAGTACAGTACTGCATGTTATTTTGAGTTTTAACCAGATAAATGTGAAAACAGAATTGCAACTAATAAGTGATAAATTTGTTTTACAAACCACGTTTAAAGTATATCCTATAGTATACAGTATTCTATGAATCCCACACTTATATTTATTTTTACTGTTACCATAATAATGATAAACCAAAGTTAATTTTTTTACATCTCATATATAATACTATATAAGTATACATTTACAGTAGCTGTACCATTATACAGTAACTTTAATTACCAACTTCCTATGTTCATAACATTATTGCAAACTGACAAAAATGTGCTGCAATGGATGTATTCTATATGTTGAAAAAAGTTTAAAACAAAAAATTAAACATTACTACTGTACTGGTGTGCAAAATCTTCACCATGTAATGTTATGTACATTTCTGGTAAAATATAATTAGAAAATGGCCACAATGTCTGCAGTGATAAATTATTGGATTTTAGTTTTAATGTATGGATTTAAATGTAGCAGTATACTGTATATACTGATCACATCTGTATTACACATACAGGGTATGCATCATTAATTAGTGCAGTTTAAAAGTAACATTAAATAAAGACAAATTCACCTGATACTTATTCCTATGTAAATTTCTGCAATGTACTTTAATAATGTCAAAGTCAAGTATTTCTGACTTATTACATGATATACTGAAATACTTATATCTAAGCCAAGACACTTGAAAAATCTCATAAAATCAAATGTAGGGATACGATGTGAATTTTTGATCACTGAACTAGTGACCGAACTAAGTGTTCATGTAGAACACTTGAGCATTTTCACATTTTATGACTTAGTGAACCACTGAAAACTGGAGTTCAAGGACATGTGTACAGCAGTGAAGAAGACAATAACTAAATTTGTGTGATGTGAATGCAATTCCAGTTCTACTGGTTGATCAAGCCCTGATCCACAGGGAGATCTGGTCAAGGACAGGGCCATAGGGGCACTGACCCCCAGAACACCATCCAGTTAAACCCTCCAAGTACACTCATTAATAAAAGAATATGCACAAATGTGTACACCCAATACTGTATTATTATTATATTTAAAGGGAAAGTGCTAAAACCACAGGGGTCATACAAGGCCTGGGGAATGGGAGGCAATAACACCTTGGATTTCAATATATACTATAGGCTATGTATATTAAGAAGTCATCAGTGTTACAATAGTTTAGAAAAAATACTCAGTTGTGTACACAGTACAGTGCTAGTAATATGAATGTTTAAAATAATTAAAACGGTCTGATGACTTAGCATGAAGTGACTGGAACCTTAACATTAATGATATTGGTACCTTTATGTATATATAAAGCTGTTGTAAGCTTTAGAATACATGTACTTCAATGAAGACATGGAAAAATTAAATCTGAGAGGCATAAATGCTTCCTCAGTCTTATAAAGTTCCTGGGATGACTTACTTCCTCAGTCTTATAAAGTTCCTGGAATGACTTATTTAAGTAATTTTACAAGCAACAATGGATTCAATGTGCTCTTACTAACATTGCTACAGCAATGCAATACTGCTCCACTAGAAGCTTCACAGGTGCAGCACTGCTACACTAGAAGTGTCAGTTACATCACTGCTACACTAGAAGCTTCACAGTTGCATCACTGATACACTAGAAGCTTCACAGTTGCATCACTGCTACACTAGAAGCTTCAAAGTTACATCACTGCTACACTAGAGGATACACATTGCATTACTGCTACACTAGAAGCTACACAGGTGCATCACTGCTTCACTAGAAGCTATGCAGGTTTATCACTGCTACACGACAAATTCACATTCAGGAAAATTGTATTGTACACTAAATCTGCACTGTATAACAGAAGGTTGTGAATGATAAAAGCTCATAATATAAATCACCTATATATAATAACTGTTGTATGGAACACAAATTATATATTGTATACATTGTTTTCAAGAAAAACAAGTTTCAAACTTGTGTATTACAGTATTTTATTAATAAAATTTAAAATAAAAATTTGTCATTGTTAATCGCACATTCTTTTCAAAATACTGTACAATGAAAGATATAGTAGGGACGGTTGAGCTCCAGAACTCTGTGTGTTTCAATTATATACAATGATTTTACTGAAGGCCATTTCAGGGATAACTACAACTTCATATTTTTTTTATGATCCGAAAACAGACCACAGAATTTTACAGTGGCCCCCGCCTTACGATATTAATCCGTTCCTGAGAGCTCATCGTAAGCTGAAATTATCGTAAGGCGAATTAATTTTCCCCATAAGAAATAATGGAAATCAAATTAATCCGTTCCTGACACCCCAAAGTATGAAAAAAAAAAAATTTACCACATGAAATATTAATTTTAATACACACAAACTGAAGAAGACATGTACAATTACTACTCTACTAAGAATAGAATACATGACACTTACCTTTATTAAAGATCTGGTGATGATTGATGGGATGGGAGGAAGGGAGAGTGTGGAAGTTGTTATTGTTTAGAAGGGGAATCCCCTTCCATTAGGACTTGAGGTAGCAAGTCCTTTTCTGGGGTTACATCTCTTCTACTTTTAATGCCACTAGGACCAGCTTGAGAGTCACTGGACCTCTGTCGCACAACAAATCTGTCCATAGAGCTCTGTACCTCCCGTTCCTTTAAGACTTTCCTAAAACGGGCCATAACATTGTCATTGTACAGGTTGCCAACACGGCTTGCAGTAGCTGTGTCAGGGTGATTTTCATCCACAAAGGTTTGCAGTTCAACCCACTTTACACACATTTCCTTAATCTTTGAAGTGGGCAACTTCCTCAATTTCTCTCTCCCCTCCTCTGAAGCAGTTTCCTCAGGTCTGGCCTCTTGCTGTTGAAGATGATCTTGCAGCTCATCAGTGGTTAGCTCTTCATTGTCCTCCTCCACCAACTCTTCCACATCTTCCCCACTAACCTCCAGCTCCAAGGACTTCCTCAATGCCACAATGGATTCCACAACTGGCATACGCTTCTCAGGGTTAGCCTCAAACCCTTCAAAATCCCTTCTACACATTCTGGCCAGAGTTTCTTCCAAGCAGAGTTCAAGGTCCTCTTAGTCACTCCCTCCCAAGCCTTACCTATAAGGTTTACACAACTGAGGATACTAAAGTGATCTTTCCAAAACTCTCTTAGAGTCAATCGAGTGTCTGAGATCACTTCAAAGCACTTTTGAAACATAGCTTTTGTGTAGAGTTTTTTGAAGTTTGAAATGACCTGCTGGTGTATGGGCTGCAGGAGAGGAGTGGTATTAGGAGGCAAAAACTTGACCTTAATGAAGCTCATGTCCCCAGAAAGTCGCTCTGCCAAGTCTGAAGGATGACCAGGAGCATTGTCTAATATCAGGAGGCACTTAAGGTCCAATTTCTTTTCCATTAGGTAATTTCTCACATTGGGGGCAAATGCATGGTGTAACCAGTCATAGAAAAAGTCCCTAGTGACCCATGCCTTACCGTTTGCCCTCCACAGCACACACAAATTAGCCTTGAGGACATTGTTTTGCCTGAACGCTCTGGGAATTTCAGAGTGATACACCAATAAAGGCTTCACTTTGCAATCACCACTAGCATTAGCACACATCAGAAGAGTAAGCCTGTCTTTCATAGGCTTATGTCCTGGGAGTGCCTTTTCCTCTTGATTAATGTAGGTCCTGCTTGGCAATTTCTTCAAAAAACAGGCCTGTTTCGTCGCAATTAAACACTTGTTCAGGTTTCATTTCTTCACTGTCTATGTACTCCTTGAATTCCTTCACATATTTTTCAGTCGCTTTTTGGTCCGAACTGGCAGCCGCACCATGCCTTATCACACTATGTATACCACTACGATTCTTAAATCTCTCAAACCAACCTTTGCTGGCCTTAAATTCACTCACATCACCACTAGTTGCAGGCATTTTTCTAATTAAATCGTCATGCAACTTCCTAGCCTTTTCACATATGATCGCTTGAGAGATGCTATCTGTTTTTCGTTTATCCACACCAATAACAGTCTCTCAACATCTTTTATCACTTGTGATCTCTGTTTTGAAAACAAACTTGCACCTTTTGCAAGAACAGCTTCCTTGATTACCGTTTTGTTGGCCAAGATAGTAACAATGGTTGATTGGGGTCTGGTATACAACCTGGCCAGCTCCGAGACACGCACTCCACTTTCGTACTTACTAATTCTCTCTCTTGATTTCTATAGTAATTTTCACCCTTTTTACCAGAGGGTTGGCACTAGAAGTTTTCTTGGGGCCCATGGTGACTTATTTTGCAGCTACAAGCACTAGAAACACTGTGATAATATGAAATGTACCGAATGTATGCTTAGATGCAACCGCACTAGCTGGCTTGTAAACACTGGCACCCACGGGGCAGCTGAGGCCACGCGTGGGACGCATCCCAGACGAATCACATAAGGCGAGTTTTTATCGTGGGGCGAGGCAAAATTTTTGCGTTCAAATGCTTCGTATGGCAGATTTAACGTAAGGTGATGCGTTTGTAAGGTGGGGGTCCACTGTATTTAAAATGTTCTCTTTCTTATTAATGTCACTATTAAGAAGATTACAGCAATACTGAAGCAGATATGGCCAAAACACAGTCCAATAATTCAGACATGTTAAATTTCCTATTACTATCTGCAAATTCAGGATTCACATCACCGTCAGGAAAATCCCCTGTGAGTTACGGGGTTGATTTTATCTTAATATTAACTGTATTTCTGATCCTGTAGTAGTTTAAAGCTACTGAGAATACTATGCTGAAGGAACTGCATTAAATTCTCAATTTAACAGACCCTGATTTAATGAACTTTGCAAACATGTATGGGACAAAATCCGCAAGATTTGGAAGCAAAGGACAAAGCACCTTGGTTACTGAATTGTTTGTTATTACAATCATGACAAAATAATCTCACCTTTAACTACCACAATTACAATTATTGGCTACCCAACCCCCCTCTCCCTAAGTTTATATCCAGGGTTAACTATACCACCAACTTAATTAAATCTGCCACAGCCTTGTAGGATTTAAACTACCAGGAAAAAAATGCTTTATTACAGCATGATTTTGTTGCAAGGCAACCGAAAAAGTGCTACCAAAAATTTTGATCATGTGCGAAATTTTTTTATATTATATAATGCAAAGCTTTAAAGAATTGGCCAATGCTCAAAATATTGGTACTACACACCAATGCATTATTACATACTAAATTTGGGTACTACATACCATAGTACATGACTCCTCTTCCACTTGTATTCCAAGCTAGTGGGCTGCCAGTTGCTTTCTGGAAGTGTTTTGTGCCTCACTGTGTTTATCAGACTATAGTATTTTGGATATTTTCAAAACTATCTGGGCCCTGGATATGTCTTATGAAACCCAATACAAATACTAATGATGTTCAATTTAATAAATAAATAAATAAATAAAGGCTTTGAGGTGATGCACATGTAATAGAAATTGTGTGAGTTGTACACAAATGAATAAACTATTTATAGACTTAGAAATGATGAGAAAAAATAAGAGCTTGTGCATTAAGTATTAAAGATTTATACTTGTTCAAAAAATGTCAAAGGGGTTATTAAATTAAATGTTAAAATATCCAAATTTGTAGGCTGAGCACTTAATGCTCAGATAAGAAGGAACAAAGCTCTAAGTGCTCTATAAAACTGTGTGAGGGACAGGAGGTGAGTCTTCACTACAATGTATATTTAATGCTGGAAGATCTGAAAGTTTTAAAAAACACTATCATATTTATGGGATAACTTTCTGATCAGCTCTTTAAAGTATACTAGAGAGTAAAATACATGTATAGCAGATATTCATTACAGAATACTTGAGCATGCACATTGGTATACTTCACACGCACTTCAATGCAAGAACCAGAACCATCCACCTAACCCCAGTGGGTCCACATGAACCCTCTCCACACTCTTCTATTTCAAAATTAATGCATTACCAGGATGTAAGGTCAGCTGTACAATAAATTTTTTTATCTAGTATAATAGTAAAAACATTTGTTTGGCATGAGAATCCCCAGTTTTTGTCGCCCAATGCAACCACAAGCTTCATCATGAGAAACAGTTTGCCCACAGGTATTTTTTTTTTATGAGAATGTGAGAGTATACACAGGTAAAGGCTACAATAATAGACCTGGTGAAGTACAGTGGACCCCCGCTTAACGATCACCTCCCAATGCGACCAATTATGTAAGTGTATTTATGTAAGTGCGTTTGTACGTGTATGTTTGGGGGTCTGAAATGGACTAATCTACTTCACAATATTCCTTATGGGAACAAATTCGGTCAGTACTGGCACCTGAGCATACTTCTGGAATGAAAAAATATCGTTAACCGGGGGTCCACTGTATAAGCAAGAGCAACATAAATTAGGCATCTGACATAAGGTACAGTATCTCAAAGCATATAAAAAAAAGCAGTAAAACATATGACAAACTATTCTAAGAACAAAATATATACTTGTAATTATGATAAATTATAAATAGATAACACTTGTTTCACTTTAAAGTTGTTTTAATTTAGATATTTTAGTTTGTTGTTTCTATTAATACAGCATATAAAAATTACCCTTCTACATATAAAGGTACAATGTGGATTCTGTAAGCAACCTTCTAGTCCACAAAATAGTCCAGCGCAAGTTCTAGTCCAATAACAGGTCCAAACATACTTAACCAACTTATAATATACCTAACTGACAGTTTGGAATCAGAGTAATGATCAGGTGTCACCTGACTCATAAGTTTTGCAGTGTTACAGGGATGTAATTGAAAAAATGGTCGACCAAGCAGAGGATGTTCATTTTGTGTTAAAGTTTCCCATTTATTATGCTGAATTTGTTCACTAAACTGAGTATGAACCTGCCTCCAAACTTGTTCTAAAGTTAATAATTTCCCTGATGAAGTCCAGGCATTAAAATATAAAGTAGGAACAGAATGACTTAAACTATACACAATATGGTACTCAAAAGTAATAAAATTCTTAGCATTTAAGTCATTTAAAGCTGATGGGTCAGATAAATCCAGTTGTTCTTCATCCTGGAGAGTGCCCTCTTCCACCTGACCCTCTACAATACTACATTTGTCCATTAAGTGTGGTGATCTTTTCAATAAGAATTGCTGGTGTTCAATACCAGATTCATTTTCATAACACACTCTCTTACAAAGATAGAGACCTCCTTCTTCTTGGGCATTTCCTCGACATTCCCAGTTGTCTCCGAGTTTCTGAGCCATCCTGAAGAACCCCAAGCAACCTTCTCTAAATTCTTTATAAGTTATGCATGCCATGTCTTTGGAAATTATCCTCTTAATGCAAATTTTGATGCTTTTCTATATAATTATCGAATCTTCATCAGAGTTGAAGCAACACCAACGTCAAAGACCTGGGAGTGATCATGTCGGAGGATCTCACCTTCAAGGACCATAACATTGTATCAATCGCATCTGCTAGAAAAATGACAGGATGGATAATGAGAACCTTCAAAACTAGGGAGGCCAAGCCCATGATGACACTCTTCAGGTCACTTGTTCTATCTAGGCTGGAATATTGCTGCACACTAACACCACCTTTCAAGGCAGGTGAAATTGCTGACCTAGAAAATGTACAGAGAACCTTCATGGCGCGCATAACGGAGATAAAACACCTCAATTACTGGGAGCGCTTGAGGTTCCTAAACCTGTATTCCCTGGAACGCAGGCGGGAGAGATACATGATTATATACACCTGGAAAATCCTAGAGGGACTAGTACCGAACTTGCACACGAAAATCACTCACTACGAAAGCAAAAGACTTGGCAGACGATGCAACATCCCCCCAATGAAAAGCAGGGGTGTCACTAGCACGTTAAGAAACCATACAATAAGTGTCAGGGGGCCCGAGACTGTTCAACTGCCTCCCAGCATACATAAGGGGGATTACCAACAGACCCCTGGCAGTCTTCAAGCTGGCACTGGACAAGCACCTAGTCGGTTCCTGACCAGCCGGGCTGTGGCTCGTACGTTGGTTTGCGTGCAGCCAGCAGTAACAGCCTGGTTGATCAGGCTCTGATCCACCAGGATGCCTGGTCACAGACCAGGCCGCGGGGGCGTTGACCCCCGGAACTCTCTCTCCAGGTAAACACTTGTAACATCTGCAGAAGAATTTTATGCTGTACCAGTTCATAAGCTGGAAATATCAGTAACATTTCATACATATGATATTACATTGTTAAATACTAGGAGAGTGGGACACCAACACCTTAGCACTGTTGGTAGCTGGCTTTCTCTATCGGACAAACATCCACAATGTGGAAAGAGGTGCTTATGTATGGTGCCCAGATCACTGTTCACAGCAGTCAAGAAAGATTGAGAGTAAATGTCACAAATTAAAAAATTACGGGAATTTGTTACTGATGTTCAGGTCAGAGCAAGATGTGAACACAAAAGCTGACACAGAAATACTTTCAAATGTGGGCACTCAGGGTGACTAACATACACAGGTACCCCAACATACATTTACTGCTAGGTGTGAGAGGACAGCAGGGTTGCAAGGAAACCTGCCCATACATTTTGCCATGAATGGCTTGGAATCAAGCCCCTGAACCATAAGCCTGTGATTACATACATATAATTTGTAACTACATACTGCATTATCTGTAACCTTTGAAAGTGTAGTGTGAATAAGACCTATTGTGACCCTGTAATATTGTCTCTTGCACTACCACTCACAGGATAAGCTGCATGTATACAATGAAACAGCCATTCAGGTGGAAAAAATAAAATTAAGGGTCTACTGCAAAGAAAGTTGAGATAAAATAAGCATTATTCAGGAAAATGCACAAATATTTTAAAGAGCGATTTATAAATTTGTACATTGGTGCTGAGGGCGCATGTTTTAGTTACACATTCTAAATAAGGTGCCAACAATGGCATCTTATTTAGAATTAATACCTAGGTAGTAGAATAATACCTAGGTAGTAGACCAATAGACATCAGCCATCCTGGATTTTTAATTAATACAGTACAGTAGCTCTTAATCCTGCAACATTTACTTTCTTTCCAACCTTGGAAAGACATAACATATAGGATAATGTATGGTGGATAAGCATATGGCCTGGCAGGCAATGCTCTTTCCTCACACGCTGAGTATCTGTGGTTCGATCCCCGACAAGGGTGGAAACATTGGGTGTGTTTCCTTACACCTGTTGTCCCTTTCACCTAGCAAGCAAGTAAGTACCTGGGTGTAAGTTGACTGATGTGGGTCACATCCTGGGAGACAAGATTGAGGACTCCAATGGAAATAACAAAGACAGTCCCTTGATGATGCACTGCCTTTCTTGGGTTATCCAGGGTGGTTAACCCTCCGGGGTTAAAAATCCAAACAAAATCTTATCTCTCTTAAAGTTAGTGTGACTCATTTCCACTAAGGTCCTCAAAGAAAACTGTGGAAGAGGGGAAGGAAGGAGAATACAGGGAGGCCCCAAACCCGAAGAATTTATTAAGTGCCTTGGGAATTGGAGGCCATTAGGGTTGCTTCAAGGAAATAGGAGGGTAAATCCAATTCCTAAGATCAAGAGCCCTTCAAAGTCATTTGGGTCTTCCTTTCCTGAAGAGGTGAAGGTTAAGAGCTTGAACACAAACAATGTTAAAGTAATAATATTCAGATATTAACCCAGGACATCCTAAGAAAGCCAAGCAGTGTGGTAAGTTTATTTAGGCCAGTGCACTCAGCTCACACACTGAGGTCTGTGGCTTGATCCCGGTATGGGTGGAAACATTACGACATGTTTTCTAAAGACACCTACTGTCCCTGTTCACCTAGAAGTAAATAAGGTGCCTGGGTGTTAGTCAACTGGTATGGGTTGCATCCTGGGGACAAAATTGACCTAATTTGCCTGAACTGCTCTGCCTAACAAGAGGCTTTCTATATACTAGTAATGTCACTGATGGCTGCTATGATCTGTATACCTTGCACATGTATTTTATTATTATTATTATAAAGAAAAAGAAGCACTAAACCATATGTACTTGTAGAAATAATGCTAGTGGTTTTCTTTGTAATTAATATCCTATAATATGTAATCCACACATAGTAAACTCTTCAAGGGAACAAAAATTTTCATTTTCATTATTATTATCATAGTGTAAATTACCCAGGATAACCCAAAAAAAAGTCAGACAAAGTTCCACGATACTTACATATATAATTATCATTAATATATTAAAAAAATAGCTAAACCTGAATGGTCTACCTACCTGGAGTCTACCTGGAGGTCATTCCGGGGATCAACGCTCTTGTGGCCTGGTCCACGACCAGGCCTCCTGGTGGATCAAAGCCTGATTAACGAGGCTGTTACTGCTGGCTGCACGTAGTCCAACATACGAACCACAGTACTGACTTTAGGTATCTGTCCAGCTCCCTCTTGAAGACAACCAGGGGTCTATTGGTAATTCCCCTTATGGCTGGTGAGGGCTGTTGAACAGTCTTGGGCCCCGGACACTTACTGTGTTTTCTCTTAGTGTACCAGTGACGCCCCTACTTTTAACTGGGGGTATGTTGCATCGCCTGCCAAGTCTTTTGCTTTCGTAGGGAGTGATTTCTGTGCAGATTAGGAACCAGTCCCTCCAGAATCTTCCAGGTGTAGATTATGATGTACCTTTCTCTCCTGTGGTTCAGGGAGTACAAGTCAAGTCCTTACAGGCGCTCCCAGTAGTTAAGGTGTTTGATGGAATTATATGTGCAGTAAAGGTTCTCTGTACATTTTCTACCCCTCAAAGGAGGTTCCTTGACGCTGGTGAGGGGCTCTTGATCTAGGGAATTGGATCTGTGCTCCAGTTCCCTGAATTGAGCCTGAATGCCTCTCCCACACGCGCTGTATAATCCTACGGGTTTAATGTACATTCTCTAGATCTGCAATTTCACCTGCCTAGAATGGTGATGTTAATGAACATCAGTAATTCCAGCCTAGAGAGAACAAGTGACTTAAAATTATTTCTTTGCATGCGGTACAAAGATAATGTAGTCTACATGTAATAAAACATTGTTAGGCACAGAACAAACCACACTAATAAATAAGTTTACTTAGGTACAGGCACACATGAATACATTACGTGAATCATACAAAAGTCAGTGACTGATTTCCAATGGGATCCTCGAGACTTATTTCCTGCATCTCAACTACACTTCACCTAGCACTCTCAACACTTAGAATGGTGATTCACATCACAGTTCTGCTGCAGAGGCTGCACTTTACACCTGAAAAACGTAAAGGAGATCTGGAGTAACTTACACATTTTATAATGTATCCCTCAGCGCCTGCTGTGCTCTGTGCTTATTGTTTGTCCAGCTGTCAGTCCCAGCAGCATCACCTTATTATTCAATATATAAACTGATAATATATCATTTTATGTTTAGTTAGATTTTATATTATGATATATTATGCTAGAGTGTCATATATTTGAGATTATGTTTATGTGAAGAAGAAACTAGGCTAAATTATAATACATATTATAAAAGAACTGGATAACTTTTAAACTTACTAATAAAACCTTAAAAATATAATACCAAATGAACAGTAATAGGAACGTCAGTGGAAGCAAATAGCGCGGTTTTTTTTTTCAAGTCATCCTAGGTTAAATATACATCATGTAATAGATATGGTGATGAAGTAGACACGTGTGCAACATTTGGGTATCTTTATTTTCCAATGGTTTTCTCAGTCCAATACAGATAAGAATGAGTCAAGATCAGGAGTTTGAGGTAATCAGTCCCCCAGCCTGGAACTGATGTATTCAGTCCCCCAGCCTGGAACTGATGTAATCAGTCCCCCAGCCTGGAACTGATGTAATCAGTCCCCCAGCCTGGAACTGATGTAATCAGTCCCCCAGCCTGGAACTGAGGAGTTTGATATAATCAGTCCAAGGACTGATTACATCAAACTCCTCCTGATCTTCAACCATTCTCCTATGTATTGGACCCTAGAAGTCACTGTGTGGCGAAACGTTTCCACAATAAAAATACCCAAATGTTTAATTCATCATCCGGTCGGTTCTTTGAAGGTTAGCTTAGGTAAAGTTCGTCAGGAAACAGAACAAGTGTTTCCAGACGCTGGTCTGTCAGATGATGACCCGTCGTTGGAACTTTTGGTCTGCTGACCGAGGCCTTCCGGTCCAACCCTTTAAAAATTATGGTCACAGTTATAACCATTTGTGAATTTTTTTTTTGTTAGGTCTTTGAACCATTTACCTACATAAACACCTCTGTAGGTGTGCTCAAATTTATAATAAATAATAAATAAATAAATAAATGGTATCCTGTAGCTCGATCGCTAGCGCACTCAGCTCGCACTGAGGTCTGGGGATCGACCCCCGGCAAGGCTAGAAAACATTAGGACGTGTTTCCTTAAGACACTTGCAGTCCCTGTTCACCTAGCAGTAAAATAGGTACCTGGGTGTCAGTCGACTAATGTGTGTCGCATTCTGGGGGGACAAAATTGACCTAATTTGCCAGTAATGCTCTGCATAACAAGCGGTTGTCTGTATAGCAGTATTTCATTGATGTTTTAGTTTAAGTTTAGTTTAATGCTTATTATGCACACCATACCTATACTGTGGGCCGGTAGTGAAAAGATTACAGAGGTACATAATGGGTCCAGGGACTGGACCCATTATGTACCTCTTAATAGGTGAATAAGGCTATGATCTACGTGAGTTAAATCGTGTACTTGTAGAAATAAATATTTATTATTATTATTATTATTATTATTATTATTATTATTATTATTATTATTTATTATTATTATTATTATTATTATTATTATTATATTATTATTATTATTATTATTATCTGCTGGCCCTCATGACTATTGTCACGAGGGCCTTAGATTAAAACTATTTTATATTGTTGAAATGTGAACGCGGCCAAGTTGCGTCCACTGTGTTAGTTTATTATTGTGTGATGAGCCATGAACCATGTGTTGACTCTGCTGGAGAGAACTACTGCTGCTAGATACTGACACTAGTGTGATACTAGTAAACTACGCTATCCTGAAGAAGAGCAGTTATTGTAAGAAAGTATAGGAGTAAGTTAACTTCAGGTAACGGTAAGAAAGACATCCTTGAACATTAAAATGGTATAAAATGCCGACAGGTTGTTAGGTAAGACACATGCAACAGTTAAGAACATAAGAACATAAGAACGAAGGAACACTGCAGAAGGCCTACTGGCCCATGCGAGGCAGGTCCAATTCCCTACCGGCTTAAGCCAATGCACCCAACCTAGTCAGGTCAGGTCACATTGACTTAAGGGAGGAACACGGCAACCGACCTGTTAGCACAAGCTATCAGGTCTAACTCACACCCACCCACATCTACTCATGTATTTATCCAACCTATTTTTAAAGCTACACAACGTTCTGGCCTCTATAACGGTACTTGGGAGTTTGTTCCACTCATCCACAACTCTATTACCAAACCAGTACTTTCCTATATCCCTCCTGAATCTGAATTTTTCCAACTTAAAACCATTGCTGCGAGTCCTGTCTAGGCTAGATATTTTCAGCACACTATTTACATCCCCTTTATTTATTCCTGTCTTCCACTTATAAACCTCAATCATATCCCCCCTAATTCTACGTCTTTCTAGAGAGTGCAGTTTCAGGGCCCTTAGTCTATCCTCATAGGGAAGGTTTCTGATACATGGGATCATCTTTGTCATCCTCCTTTGTACATTTTCCAGAGAATTTATATCCATTCTGATAATACGGTGACCAAAACTGTGCAGCATAATCTAATGAGGCTAACCAAGGATGTATAGAGTTGAAGAACAACCTGAGGACTCCTATTATTTATGCTTCTTGATATGAAGCCAAGGATTCTATTAGCTTTATTGCGAACACTTATGCACTGTTGTCTTGGTTTTCAGATTACTGCTAACCAGAACTCCTAAATCTTTTTCGCAATCCGTAATATTAAGATCTACATTATTTAGTTTATATGTGGCATGGTTATTGTCCTGTCCAACATTTAGAACTTTGCATTTGTCTATATTAAACTGCATCTGCCACTTCTCCGACCACTGCATCAGTCTATTCAAATCTTCCTGGAGTGCTCGAATGTCCTCGTCAGAATGAATTCGACGGCCTATTTTGGTGTCATCGGCAAACTTGCCGATGTCGCTCTTTATGCCTCATCTATGTCGTTTATGTAGATTGTGAACAGCAGGGGCCCAACACTGACCCTGTGGAACACCGCTCGTGACGCTTCCCCACTCTGATTTCTCCCCATTTATGCAAACTCTCTGCTGCCTATTTGTCAACCATGCCTCTATCCAGGAAAAAATTTCTCCTCCTATTCCATGTGCTTTAATTTTCCTCAATAGTCTCTGATGTGGGACCCTGTCAAAAGCCTTACTGAAGTCCATATACACAATATCATATTCATTACCATGATCTACCTCCTCAAAACCTTAGTGAAAAAAGTAATAAAATTCGTAAGGCAGGAAGCCCCTTTGTAAAACCATGCTGAGATTCGTTGATTAATTTATGCTTTTCAAGGTGGCTACGAACTGCCTCGGCAATTATTGATTCCATAAATTTTCCCACTATGGAGGTTAGGCTTATTGGTCTATAGTTTCGAAGCTAAGGACCTGTCACCTGTTTGAAAATAGGTATCACATTTGCCATTTTCCACTTATCTGGCACCATGCCAGTTTGTAGTGATATGTTGAAAAGATTAGCCAAAGGTGTGCTAAGCTCCTCTTTACATTCCTTTAAACCTTGCATACAGTTCATCAGGGCCTGGGATTTGTTAGGTTTTAATTTATCTATTTGCCTAAGGACCATGACACTTGTGACCCTAATAGTGCACAGTTTATTATCGTCCTGTTCTACATAATTTATCATTACTGGAATATCGCTGGTATCCTCCTGTGTAAAACTGAGAGGAAGTATGTGTTAAAAATTCTACACATTTCCTTATCACTGTCAGTGAGTGACCCGAGGAACTTTTGAGTGGGCCTATCTTGTCCCTGATCTTACTTCTGTATACCTGAAAGAATCCTTTTGGGTTAGTCTTCGATTCTCTTGCAACTTTAACCTCATAATCTCTTTTTGCTTTTCTAATTCCCTTTTTTATTTCTCTCTTTAACTGAATATATCGATTTCTTAATTGCCCCTCTCCTCTTTTGATTTGCCTATATATGCCTCTCTTTTGACCAATCAGATATTTTAATCTATTGTTCATCCATTTAGGATCATTTTTGTTTGATCTGATTTCCCTATTTGGAACATAATTTGACTGAGCAGCTAGAACTATGCCCTGGAAAGCATCATATCGGCAACCATCACCACCTACCTGACCCCTAGTCAGGTCATTCCAGTTCAGCCCACCTAAGTAATTTTTCAGTCCTATGAAATCAGCCAAGCGAAAGTCAGGACGGAGACTTGATTGCCATTATTAGGGGAATTCCATGATATGTTAAAACTGAGTGATTTGTGATCACTCTCCCCAAGCTCATCATTAACCTCAAGATTATTAATTAGTGTTTCCCTACTGGCAAGAACCAAGTCAAGGAGGTTATTTCCCCTAGTTGGCTCTGTCACAAACTGTTTTAAAAAACAATCCTGGATCGTATCAAGAAAGTCACCCGACTCTAAATTTCCTGTCAAATTGCTCCAGTCAATCTGTCTATAGTTGAAATCTCCCATTAGCACAACATTTTCGTATGTAGATGCCTTACGAATTTCGTCCCATAGAAGTTTACTGCACTCCCTATCAAGATTTGGGGCCCTGTAAATCACACCCAAAATTAGTTTTTCTCGGCCCTCGAGAAGCTGTAACCAAACAGATTCAGTGGCTGACGCTTCTAATTTAATATCTTGTCTAACACAACAATTTAAATTGTCTCTGACATACATCGCTACTCCACCACCTTTCCTGTTGACCCTGTCAGTGTGGAATAATTTATAGCCTTGTATGTGACATTCAGAGGGCATCTCTCTATCTTTCAGATTGAGCCAGGTCTCTGTTATAGCAATAATATCTATGTTTCCTGCACTTGCAATTAATCTTAGCTCATCTATCTTATTTCTAACACTCCTGCTATTAGTATAGTAAACCTTAAGGGAGCTAGTCCCTTGCTGCCCTCTGCTGTCCCCCTTTGTTTGCTGACCTGTTCTATTGTCTTTATTTATAACTTCATGCTGAATGCCTTTTATACATTTACTGTTTCCAACCCTAGTGTTGCAACCTGCTTGTTTCCCACACACACCCATACCTCTATCTTCCATCAGTTAGGTATCTTTATTTCGAAACTTTTCGCCTACACAGTAGGCTTCTTCAGTCGAGTACAGAAAAGTTGATAGAAGCAGAAGAGACGTGAAGACGATGTAATCAGTCCATCACCCTTGAAGTTTTGAGGTGGTCAGTCCCTCAGTCTGGAGAAGAGCATTGTTCCATAGTCTGAAACAATATGGAGTTGATACATAAGTTGATGCATAAGTGTTCGCAATAAAGCTAATAGAATCCTTGGCTTCATATCAAGAAGCATAAATAATAGGAGTCCTCAGGTTGTTCTTCAACTCTATACATCCTTGGTTAGGCCTCATTTAGATTATGCTGCACAGTTTTGGTCACCGTATTACAGAATGGATATAAATTCTCTGGAAAATGTACAAAGGAGGATGACAAAGTTGATCCCATGTATCAGAAACCTTCCCTATGAGGATAGACTGAAGGCCCTGAAACTGCAATCTCTAGAAAGACGTAGAATTAGGGGGGATATGATTGAGGTGTATAAATGGAAGACAGGAATAAATAAAGGGGATGTAAATAGTGTGCTGAAAATATCTAGCCTAGACAGGACTCGCAGCAATGGTTTTAAGTTGGAAAAATTCAGATTCAGGAAGGATATAGGAAAGTACTGGTTTGGTAATAGAGTTGTGGATGAGTGGAACAAACTCCCAAGTACAGTTATAGAGGCCAGAACGTTGTGTAGCTTTAAAAATAGGTTGGATAAATACATGAGTAGATGTGGGTGGGTGTGAGTTGGACCTGATAGCTTGTGCTACCAGGTCGGTTGCCGTGTTCCTCCCTTAAGTCAATGTGACCTGACCTGACTAGGTTGGGTGCATTGGCTTAAGCCGGTAGGAGACTTGGACCTGCCTCGCATGGGCCAGTAGGCCTTCTGCAGTGTTCCTTCGTTCTTATGTTCTTATACGATACGATAGGACTCACAGGTAAGGACCCACGAGGGGCGAGGGGCAAGTGGGGACAGTGCAAGAATAGATGATGATAGGAATGTCTTGAGTCGAAGAGAGAAGAGTCAGGACTAGACCCAACTGCTAAGCCTGGATAAACAATGACGAAGACGACATAGAAGACAGCAGGAACTCTGCAGGTACTGACTGCAACTTGCTGGATGGAAGATTGCTGCATCTTGATGTTGATTGGAGGCTGGCAGAAGCTGGAGGCGTGGTCAAGGGAGGCTAGCTTCTTGATTGGTCAGGTGTCGTTATAGTGTGAGTCAGAAGTTACTTCATTTCTTCAGTGTTGGAGGCATTCCTTATGTTGTGCAGTTGTTGGTAAGAAACGATGAGTAGTCTTGTAATCTTGGGTCGAAATGCTGGGTCGGCTTGTAACTGGTCAAAGGTCATCTTGAGTGTTGTGAAGGAGCAGTGGGTTCCTTTACGATTTGTAAACTTGACTGTTCTGTCATGTAATTTCTCGTACAAAGTGTCGACATTCATGGTGGGTTCTTGGTCAGGAGTCGTATAAAAAGTTATATCTTTCCAGTATATGGAGTTGAAGTGACAGGATGGAGCTTTATATAGCGCCAGGAGGTGAGATGAAGGCCAATAGTAGAGGTAAGAATGTAGTCGTTGGGAGGTCAGGTCCCTCTCAACGACTACTTTCTTACCTCTACTAGTGGCCTTCATCTCACCTCCTGGCGCTATATAAGGCTCCATCCTGTCACTTCAACTCCATATTGTTTCAGACTATGGAACAATACTCTTCTCCAGACTGAGGGACTGACCACCTCAAAACTTCAAGGGTGATGGACTGATTACATCGTCTTCAAGTCTCTTCTGCTTCTTTCAACTTT